TGAAATTCTAAGTGCTTACTACAGTCAGGTTTCCTGAAGTCCAGCCTTCATTTCAGAACAGTAAAACCCTTCTAGAGATTGTAACAGGAACATAATTGAAAATGTTGAAGTACCTGAGACTACCTCAGAAGCTTTGACATTTGTAGGAAATCATAGCTCAAATATAAGGGTAAAAACTGATTATTCATTTTTGAAATATGTACAGGAACCTTCCAAATCAATCACACGATCCATCATATCTCAGCCTGGACTCTCAATCTTCTTGTAAATATAGGGATTGAAAGAGATGAACCGTCTTAATCAGAGCTTTCCTCCATCACAAAATTACTACTGTCACTGGCACCGACACAAAAATGACTAATTTCAGCTAGAATCTGTAACAACTACTTAAAAGAGGTTACACAGTCCACTGTCCACCAAATACATACACTATGTACAATTTCAAAGCCTATTTATAGGAAATGCAAATAATTAACTGACCACCCATAAAAGTCAGTGAATCACCGATTCCTACAGCAAAGCAGCTGAAGAGATTCTACCACCTCGGCACCTATTACCATGACCACACATGTCAATTCTTGGATGACTCTTAATAAAGAGGAAAAAGACACAATGTGTCTGTCACCTCTCAGAGCCTTTATGAGATGGCAGACAGCACAGACTCTCCAAATCCCTCTAAAACTTCAAATGGGAAAAACTTCTGGACACAAAAGTAGTGGGCACAATAGCATCCACTACTGCTTCTCAGAAAGTTTTGTTTCTTTTCCGATGTTCATACTTGCAAAAGCCCAGAAAAAAGAATCTGAAACCAAATTGAAGAGAAACAATGCACAACCCCTCCCCCCCAAAAAATAATTCAGTGTCCATAAAGCAACCATGGAGAAAAATCACAGAAGAAAGGCCACAATCTACAACTGACTTCTCAGTTCTCACCCATTAAAAAACACTGGTCACAGCTGAAGAGAATTACAATTGAAAGCTTCCAGAAAGACTTCTCAAAGGAAAACTAAAAATAAGTGGCATATTTCACTGAAGTGAACTGTAAAAGTGAACTATATGAAACAATATTTGGAAAATAGCACTTCCAAACACTCCCCAAAAGCATTAAAAAAATCAAAAAGCTTTTGCACCTGAACAATCAGAAGAAAGGAGACTCAGGTTACGTAAGAGGGAAAATTCGGAAGCTGTCAGTTTCAACATTAAACTCCTACACAAAAAAAAAAATTTGGGATATTCCCTACTGTTTTCTAAAACCAGAAAAACACATCAAAATCACACTAAATATTGTAAATGTTGTATCACTGTGACCTCACATTTTTCAATGATGCTCAACTGTAGTTTTAATTTAGTGACATTTTTTCAAGAAAATGAAAGCTGTATTACACATCTGCAACAAACATGTTAAGGGCAGAGTGCAAAACATACACTGATTTCCCTGGATGTTTTACATACTGATGTTTGGGTGTCTTGTGTTTACCATACCAAATGTAAAGCCTTGCTTTGATTTTCCTCAAGAATGAGCTATTACTACTGCATACTCCTGCTACTTCATTAGACAGGAAGAGACGTAACAGGTTCATTCCAAGAAGTTTGAACCAAAAGAAGCTGTTATACAAGCCAGTAAAGTTTTGCTGCTTGTCAGCTCGGAATAGTGTGAGGCTTCCAATGACCTTCCTTGTACCACGAACCCAATTTATGGAGACAGAAATCTCACATCTGTACCTCGGCATATTGGGAGGTACATTACAGTGATATAAAAGTTTAATTTTCTCTCCTAAACCATACCTGTTTAAACCAATAAAGAACTAACACAGCTTTTACTCACTCAAGTGTCGTCAGTAGTTATAAAACGTTGTACTGCTTATGCAGAATTCATTTAGAATGCAAGGATGTGACTTACAAATGTCTTTGACTCATTCACATAAATATGCATGTATGCCATTTATAACAGTAGCCTTGATGAGAACACACAGTGTAACTGGCTGCAAGAAACGCTTAAGAGGTTTACATTAAAACAGAATATAGAACGGTGGTTAGAAATCACAGAACAGGTGACACCTTACTCTGATAACCTGGCGATAAAAACTGTAGGGTATGATGTATAGGTTTTGGCATTACCACTTTACTATACAGTCTGAACATCTGAATATCTGTTCGGATACGGCTCAGTTTTAGCGAGACAGAATAGCCAAGGCAGACCACATACAAAAACTGTGATTAATCTCAAAAAAAATTGTGATTGCCTCCTGAATTGTTCACTTAAACCCAAAGACATTTAGACTTTATTTTGTACTCAAATGTTTTTAATACAAACCATTTAAAAGTATAATTACCTCTTGGCTTTACAGAGTAATTTGCTTCAACTATTAAAATACAGTTCTTATTATAAGACTTACAATTTAGCAAAAAAAAACCTAAACCCCTGAAATGCAGCAATCAGTGGACATAAATAGAAAGTTCAGGCCACCTGAAGAATTTCTGTGATCATGGAATCACAGAATGGTTTGGGTTGGAAAGGACCTTAACATCATCCAGTTCCAACCCTCTGCCGTGGGCAGGGATGCCCCACACTAGACAATGTTGCCCAAAGCTCTGTCCAACCTGGCCCTGAACACTGCCAGAACGATTTTCTGATGAGAATATTTACAAGACTTCTGGACACCACCACTGCCAACTTGAAATACATTGCTGCTACAGATCAGAAAACTGCACATGCTGGCTATTAAAATATAGCCAAAAGGCTTGCAAGAATGCAAGAAAAATTATATTAAGAACCTACAGTGCAAAAAATGTAACTAAAAAAATTCTATTTTTTATTTTAACTATTAAATTTACTTTTTTCCCCCAGATATTTATGTCAAAGAGGTTTAACTGTGAAACTTGTGGCTCTGACAGTATTTTGATTTATTAATCTGTTTGTCATGTACAGATATCTGGTCCCACATGAAGACTTTTGGAGACAGAAAGACATCATAAAAATCTACAAACACAAATTCTATTGCATGACTATGTCCAGAGTACTTACCTAAAACAAATACTGTCTATAAATTTTCTGTCTGAGCACCTAGTTACATAGGTTTTGCATTTTTTAAAATCTCCATACAAACAGAGTTTAAGGTAGAGATGAAAGGCTACCGACAAAAGATGTTACCAAGCAGCATTTCTAGTCAGTGCAGCACAGAACAATACCTCACTGTCTAGTGATCAAATCAAAGCATTAGATAATCTACATCATATAGGATGATTCCATGTGGCCTTTATTTGTTGCTAAGGCCAAATAAGACCTTGCGCAACACAGCTGGCTGCTGGTGCCAACCAGCCACTCTGCAGATACCTTCCATGAACTCTGACAATTATTCCCGAATGTTTCTATCAGTATATAATTGTATCCATCCTATATACTGACAAATAGGCTCAAGCTGCTGAGGCCACTGTTCTAACAGTAATTTAAGTACTGTTACAGAGAAGAAAACCATAATCTATCATGCAGATAAGTCAGGAAGATAACATCCAACAGCATGCTGTAAACCAGAATATCTGAATAGTAGGACAGATGTAAAAAGCAGAACTTGTTCACCAACAAAGAACATAGCAGGTAAGATTTGGCACTGTTATTTAAACAAATGATATACAAATACATCACTCAGACAACAAAGTGGCCTCACCATGCAATACTGCTTCTTTTAAATAGAGCTAATGTTTATTTCAGACCTCCAGGTTACTACATTAAAAACCTACATAGAGCAGATGGAAAGGCTGCTTGCCAGCAAAAGAAAAGATTAAAAAACCCCTCAGCCTTTTAAAAACCAGTTGAACTGTTGGAAACAACTGAAAATTAAAACCGCCCACCCTCTGCACATGTATCCTTAATGGTCCCCAAAAGTATCCGTCAACAACTCCTCTGCTAGAACTCCAGTCCCTAGCATACCTCAGGAATCACACTAAAGACTACATTATCATTGCCCACAGTTCAAGTAAAAGGGTTGAAGTGGATGTTTATCCTGGAGTCAATAGAGGATTTTTGGTTTAATTACTTTGTAGGGCTGAAGTAGTAGAGAACATATGGCTGCTGCTTAAGATGTTGGAGTGTAAAACTGTAGTTTGTATATGGTTCAGTGTAACAGGGCTTCATGATATCTTCTGCTGTTCAAGTCATAGGTGGGAGCTTGTGGTCTACAAAATGATGCCAAGAGGATAACGATATGATTTCACATCAGTTGCCCTGTTTGTACAAGTCCGTGACATAACAAAGGTGAAAAGATTACATAACTTTATTTAATAATAAACTGCACACATGGCCTGATTTTGCTTCTTTGTGAAAAATCCAGTTCATTATTAAAAAGACAGACGCACTCTCAGCATTGATTAGTAACACAAACTGAAAACACATATCCTCCTGTAACTTCAGGAAGACTAAGCCATGAATTTTCTCTGCCTACCAAAATGTACAGCCATCCTTTGGGACAAACATGGCACCAAGTCTCCTCCGTCAGTTTTAAAAAGGGATAGCTACATGAGTTAAATTATGTCTTCCTCATTTCCTAGTACTTCTTACCATAGGCAGCTACCACAACAGCCAGCAATGAGAAGTTACATTTGGAATACAACCACAGAACAGTAGAATTTTTTAGGCTGGAAATGACCTCTAAGATCAAGCCCAACCGTTAACCCAGCGTTGCCAAGTCCACCACAATATAAAGCCAATACTTTTAAGTGCAAAAGGTGTTAAAAAAACCCAAACCAACAAATTATGCCTCACTAGGAGTTTAGAGGTAATGTATCTTACGCAAGTAAAGAGTTTCAAAATGTTAAAGTAACATTATTTCCAACTTATTTTTTAAATTTTCCTTTTTTTTGGAGGGGGAAATTTTACATCCAATGAAAATGTAAAGCAAATAAAACTAACATGAAATTGTTAACAGGATGATTCCTATTGAATGATATCTATTAGCATCAGGATTTCATTTCTGGAAGATACTTATTAGAAAGGTGAAGCTTACCTACAGAAGCACTGTGGGATCTCTCCTTGACCATACAGTGGAAACAAAAATGGTGTATTGCCATAGCGGCCAAGGCACTGAAGAAACTTTTTTGTTGCCTGAAGACCTTCAAGAGTGCTGCTATCAGTCTCTGAAACCATTGCAATCGAGTGAAGAATGAAGTGCTGCAAGCTGGGTGTTAACTTCTGTGTTCTCAGGAACTGAGCAAATGTGCTGTTCTCATAGTCTGAGGGAAGAGTAAATTTAGGTAAAGACTACAGTATGACATTTGTTTTTTTTTCTCATATGCTTCAACTTAAACAAGTACATTTGTATACAGATAAACAAAAGCAAATGAGTTTTTCAACAAACATCTTGCTGAAAATGGATAATCCAAGTCAACAGAAGTTAAAAACATCTACTCCCAGAAAGTGACTTTTCTCAGAAGACAGAAATATCATTCCATTAAAATATTTCAAACCAATGCAAACCCACTGTACAGGTGTCCAACAGTCTAGAAAGCAACCTCTAGATATGGCTTCATCCATTCATTACGTTAGACTTCACCTAACCCCCCTTCTAAACTGTGTAAGAAAAGCGAGCAACTGCAGATGAAAATCCATTCAAGTGCCTTGGGATGCTCCGTCCTGTAAATTACCCAGAATATTCAACCTGAATGGCACCCATTCAAGAACAGTATGGCTGAATCCATCCTGATACGGTTAGAGTGCTTGTGTATGTGCAGAGAAGCCATTCACACAGTGTCTTAATCCAAAGATGAGAAGGCACAGTATTTATTTCAAATCGATGACTTGCAACAAGCAAGTGTGGATGAGACACAAAGACAACAGGGATAAGGAAGCCTATCCCCCTTAAAATTAATACTGTTGCTGACACATTTTGAAATTCCAAGAAACACAAGTCTTTCAGGGGATGCTTAATGCAAGTATTGCACGTCACTGATACATGTCTGAAAAAAAACTCATTATGTTAATAACTAAATTGTCTCCTCTCCTCCTGGGAAAAGACTGCATTCAAGAAACAGCATACTTGCACACTACTCAGAAATCTGCTCATAAGCTAATTTCACTCATGCATAAAGTGACAGGTAACACTTCCATCAATGGTGAGACTACTATCATTAGCTATATATTTGTTTAAGATTCAACCACTGTTTTATTACAAATGTATCTTATTACCCTTTCTGCAGCCATGCAGCAAGTCACAAAATGAGAGGTTTTTGTTCTATCATTCTAAAAAAAAACTCCCAAGTTTTTCCTCACTTCAGACTTCTTACATAACTCCAAATTTTACAGAAAAAAGCTTTAAAAAAATTCTTCACTCTCCTGAACTCTCCCTATTAAAAGTCTGCCTTCCCACGAATGTAATGATCTCGCCAAGAGCAATTTGAAATTTCAGAAGTCTTTACATTTGAGTAGTCTGACTCAAAATACTCCCAATTACCTCTCAGGCTATTTCAAAATGTAGGACCAAAATCTGTTTAACTGCCTCTGGAAGTAAAATAAATGTAATGTCATTTCGGTACATGAATCAATGGATTCATTTAAAATTGATGTGGCGCCTCCTTTCTTTACTTAATAAATTTTCTAAATACCACCTATATTCTCACCCTGAGCACCTCCATTTCTTCCAGCAGCAGCAAATCTGATATTACCTGTAATCTATAAACCACTTCAGTCTAATGAGCTTTTCCCCCTTCATGATTTTCTCGAGTTTATCACACACTCTTGTTTGCCTAATCTTAGCAGATCATTCTCTATATTGACCAATTCTCTCTTGCATATGTTTAAAATAATTTTCTCTAATGTTTGTACCTAATCTAAGGGTCGTGTTCAAGTAATCAAACCAGTATCTTAACAACTGTGTCTTTTTAATACTAGATTCTTTCAAAAATACTGCCTAGCTGAGCTACTGTCAAGCTACAAAAGCACCGATATGCTTCAGTCTGAAACTTATGTCAATAGTTTAACTATTCCTCTTTCCTCATTATTTCTTTTTGACAGATTTTTCTTTTATTATTTTGCCTTAGTTTACTTTTGGTCAAGAACTGAGAACATCACTTCATTCTTTGTAGCCTGAGGTACATAAACCCAAAGCACCTTCCTTCTGTTAGCCAATTTTCCTCTTTGACCTGATGCTCATTATTCTTCGCACATTATAGCTCAAATATATTCAGATTTTTTCTCATCTAAATGAGCCAACAGTTGATAAAGACACTTTGAACTTGTCCTCTACAACTAAAAGGCATTAAACTACATTTACCTTCAAAGTTGAAAAATCCATTTTCTCAATTTCTGATTTTGTGACAACATACCATGATTTACACATTGCTTCCCCCCCAAAAACCCACAACAGAAAACTCAGCTACATAACACCATCTTAAAAAAATCACTGTGATGTGGGAGAAAACACCTAAAAATGACAAAAACATTTTGCAACATTGCTGTAATTTATAATTTCACTGTTAAAGACAAATGTAAATAATAAACAACGCAGGAAGTAGAAGAGAAATGCTTAAGTAGAAGAATTTAACATTGCAGTGAAAAGGTCATGAAAAGGCCAAAGCATACTTTAAAAATGAATCCATAAAAATAAATTGCGTGAAAACACAGGAGAGCTATTGAAATTGTGCATAACTGAATGAACTCATAAGGAGAGAGTGTATACTGTTCAATGAAACACCACCTTGGTATTCTTCAGGGTGTTGTTCATAGTCCAAACAAAATGTCAGAAATTTCATTAGCATTCTCTTTTCCACCATAGTGAGCTGTCTGCTGTTGAAGACATCTGCTCTAGAACAAGGTACCTGGAAAAGAGTTTTTAATAATTTCAGGTACTTAGCATACTCTGGATGTGAAAAGCATCAAGCAATACTATAGTCTGACTACTTAATGAATATTTCTGTTACAGCTATTTTCTAACATATTTCTTTCCATTATTTTCTATTATCATAAAAGTTACCAATTTTCCACAATCAAAATTTTAAAAAATAGTTTCAGCCTCTTGCCCTTTTTATTTTGCTTCAATTTCATTTGCATTTCTGACTGCAGAGGTTAATCAATAGAGTTTCTATTAACTAACTGTGCCAAGATCCCTTGTTGCCATTATCAGACCAATGACTTCTAAGTACCAGAGAAAAAAAATCAACTCTATGCTACAAATGTTAAAACCTAAAACCTGCGAATCTTTAAGAATTAACTGCCAAGTCAATCACAGTATTAATGTTTGACATGATGTAAAGATTTATGTCACTAATTTACTGGACTGCACGTTCTTTTTTTAGCTATGTAAAAAAATACTATAAACACATACAAACACCTTTTCATTCCAGAAGTTAAATGAAAATCAGAATCTTAAGGAAATGTACTAGATTATGGTTACAAAACTCTCAAGAAACTGATCTCTTGACTTTAAAAAGACAAGATTAAACACATGCAACGTGTTGCTTTATGATACCTGTTCTACTTTTCCTTCTCGAAAGGCAAGAATTCGTGTTGCATTTTTAAACTCTGCGTATCTGCTAACATTCGACTTGATCAGGAGGTCAATTAACAGACCTCGGGAGTACAGCAACTGCACAGGGATGAAAAAAAAGCAGTGAGAAAGTGCATACACCAAAAGAACAGTGATACCACCAGCATTCACTTGTAAGGTGCTTTCTGTAAGTATTTCAAGTACATGTAGTAAAGTTAAATCTGAGTAAGAGAGTGTCAAAATGTAATATGTGTAACATAATATTAAATGAACTGAAGGAACCACAGAAATGGAGGAGACAAAGCAGTCCACAGGAGAGAAAGGGAGAAGGTGTCAGCCTACTGCTTTTAGTTCTATTAGTCTGGGAGTCACAACTTGAGACAATTTTTTGCATTGCCATCTGGAATAATTTCTTTGTATCATACACTACATATCCTTGAACACTGGAATTTACAACCTTCATTTCCCAATAAGGTGACACTGTCTGTGTAAATCATCATTAGTTGTTTCTTAAATTACCTGAAATAATGTCACATTTTCTAAATGTAAATTCCTTAACCCCTCAGTCAAGACTTAGTCATATTCTGCTATATTAATTTATCATCTGTCTACCTTTACTCTTCCTAGACACTACAAATCTATTATAAAATACTGAAGGGGCATAAATGTAACTATTAAATGACAACATATGTCTGAACTGAAAAGCATTGGAGATTAGTTCAAAAATGCTCCAAGGCTTTTGGCCTTGAGTAGTGGAATCTGCATGACCACACAGAAGTCTTCAAGATAGAGGTTTACTGGAACACTAAATGGACACAAGAAAGTCTGTGTCGCAGCACCGGAGAGACAGCAATGCAGACTACTAGTCTTGCTCTGGAGACTACTCTTCAGATATGATTTCTGGAATTCATTGCAATGAAACTCAGTGGTGCAGAAAAAGTATGAAAAGGATACAAAACAGTATTATCTGCTTAACCATTATACACTGAGTATTTTTTTTTATGATGTCATTCCAATCATGCATGAAAGAGGTATTTGGAACACAGAGCCAAAACTTGAAATAATGCATTTTGTAGTGTCTCCACAAAGAATTTAATGAATTATTGAAGGAAGGTTTTCTTCCAGTTTCTCAAGGTCTGAAAAATTTTTCCAGGCAGAATATGAAAAATTAAGCAATTCTGCTCTGAAACCCCTTCCCTGTACTGCAGAGCACACACATGGTTTAAAGCACAGAAATTAAGAAAAATTTCCATTTAACTTGAATTTCCAGGGCCATATCCATTTACTGTGAAGTGTATAAAAGGCAGATTTTAAAGTTTAAACACTATGATAGCTATGTCAGACTAATAGTTCTTCCTCTAAGTAAAACGCAACTAGTAGGAATTCAACATAATAACTAATTTTAGCCAGCTTGTATGTCAGGGATTAACTCTAATTATTTTTTTTCCCCAATAAAACTTAAATCTAAAAGCTAGGAAGCTCTCAATAGGAAAATTATTTTTCATTTGAAAAACATCAAAGATCTACAAGAAGATAGATTTTCTTTGTTTAAAAATAAGTTTTTAAACTGTACCGTTTAAAAAGAGCAATTTTGTGGGTATTACTTAAGTGCTAACTTTCAGGATATTTACTTTTATGGATGTATTTCTTAGCTATGTTTTATGGTCTCTGGTTATAAGCAAACATTAAGAGCACATGTGAAATAGCTCATGTTTATTTTAAAGGTACTAATTCTTGCTTGCTTCTCAAGAGTGTCATTTTTACCGCAAGGGTACTGGTGTGAGCTCTCCTAATATTAATTTCTTTTTAAATTCCAGCCTTTTAAGCTGTATTTATTTGAAAAGCATCATACAATTCCTACCTTGGAAACTAAATCAATATTAAACCTTCTGCCTTCTCTAACAATTTGGGCATACGTGATTTTCTTTGGTCCTTGGGCGGAACTTTCTGAGGGTGCAGATCCAGTTTCGGGAGTGGACTCGCTGAAAGGCATACTATGAGAACTTTCATTCTCAGAGGTTATTTCTGGATCATTCCTTTCCACTGTGCTTGTTGGCTCTGTGCCTGTTGCCTTTTCTGGTTCCTGGCTCTCCACCTCTGGTAAGGTGTTCTCCATTGGTGTGCACTCCTTTTCCGATTCCTGAGCAACCCCGTCAGCATCAGAGGCTCCAAAGGCAGGCAGCTTCGGCAATGCACCAGCTTCTTCCACATTCTCAGCCGAATCCTGACTGATTAAAAACATAGGGGGAAGAAGGCAGGGGAAAGAAAAAGTCTTTCAAAGAGTCTTAAAAACTTGTTTAAAGTTTTGAGTCAGTGCCAGAATGGAAACCTCAAGCATTACTATGAAATTATTAGAACTTCTTTATCCTGGCCTAATCACATGTACCACCCACTAAAGAATACTGATTCTTGGACTGCAAAGCTGCAATTCAAGAGGAGTATTTTGCTGAGAAAAAAAACCCAGAAAAACAATTGGGGTTCTTATTTTACATGGACTCAAAAGACGGAATGAGCTTAAAATCAAAACGCTCATGGTGAAACACAATACATAACACAGCTACATAAACAAAAGAAATATAATATTTTAAAAAAGAAACAGTAAAGCAATTTGATTAGTTTTTTCCAATGGATTAAAAAAAACCCTTTGAAATTGAAATGCGTAAATGCATTAAAGTCAGTAAGCTCAAACATTTTAAAACCAAACTCACTGAAGAAAACAGAAGTGCTTTATACGACTGGGACTACTTTGCATCTATTACCATTGCAAGTCCATAAAAGCAGCAGGCAATTTTGACCTAAGTTCAACTAAAACTTTCAGATTACTTTTCGTCTCTGCCCTCGCATTCTAATTAGTTGTTCACATAACAGCCATACAGAATAAAGTTTCTTCATGTAGCAATGAGGAAACTCATTTTTATTTATATGTTATTCTTCTGCAAGTGTTACAAATTTGTGTGTGGCAGATGAAGGCAGCCAGTCAAAAGGAGGAACATTACCACACAACATTTACTCTGCATAGTCCATTGCCTTTTCACAACATAATTCTTTAAAATTCCTCTTACAAAGCAGACCTCCAATTGTAATCTCATCTACTCTTTATCTTGAACTTCAGTGACATCTACCTAGAAACTAGTACTTTTGAACGTGGAATTTTAGTTTATACTACCAGCTGAGATGAATCAAATCGGTGTCATTGTAAGTGAAACGAGTTCAGCAATAATTTCCCTCTATCTTTTTATCTTTATACCACAAGCCATTAATGCACTGAATAAACAATTTAATCTTAGCTGAAAACTAATGAACTATGATTTTAAAGGTGACCTGCAAACGAACAGTATAAAATTTCAGTAACTACCTGGATGGTTAAAATTCACTGAAGAGCAAAGAATTATTCTGTATACATATAAAAACATTCCCCCACATCTGTAGCCTTAAAGGTGGAAGCAGGAGCTCTGGTAAAAGAGGGGAAAAAACCCTCTATCATTTCAAAGTTGCTCCTCACTTATGAGCTCATGGAGCTCACATGGGCTCATGAAAGTAAGAGTTTGGATTTGTGCACAGCCACCAGGAAGCACTTATTCATGAATGGCTTAAACATCGCCCTGGGAAATACAGGAACTGCTATAGGGGAAGCACTAATGAAAGAAGTCTGTTTCTCTACATTAATTACATCTTTCAGCTTCATATTGCAAGCATTAAGTAACTATAAAATATCAACAAAAGATAAGCACTTTCTCGAACACTTTTTAAAAAAGTAATCTCTACTAAAAACACAAATGAAATTCAATTACATTTTGGAGTTCTTTCTGGATTTTGAGGGGGTTTTTTTTGGAATTTGGAACATGGTGTTTGTGAAAACTACAAAAGCTGTTGCCACGAATGCCATAACTAAGAATGAAGCTTTCATTTAACCCATCCTAAAGCTTTATACAACACAAAAAGTCAGAGGCAAATTCTTTCTCTCTTCTCCCAAGCTCAATGTACAGTTCAATCTCAGTTTAAACATATTTAATTATTACTTTTTAAATCAAAATAAAATGTGGGTTCACAACACACTTTATTTTTTCCTCTACCATTCTGAAAAGCAGTGTAACAGAAATGCTATATTTACATATTTTCAATTTCTATTCAATTCCCGCTAATGAATACGTAAATCTGCATGATTTGCACCTCTACACATTTTTATAATGAAAGCCAAAAACTGTATATAATCCAAATTTGTGACATTCTTCCTATAGGAAAAAATATCCCTGAATAATGTAAGAACTGTCTATAAAAATGACTCAAATTGAACTTCTGTACAGACAATTCGTCTCCTATCTCCAAAAAAAATAATACATCTGCAGACAAATTGTTGTGTAAATTTAGAATATTATCTTCCACCATTCATCAATTAATGGTACTAACAAAGGAATATCTTAAAATGAATGTGTCTTATTAATGCCTTGTAACAGCAACCCCTTCAGATAGGTCAAATGAAAAATTGCCAACCAGCTGGTTAATTTATTCAGCACAGGTGTTCACTATTTATTTTTCAGCCATTTGCCTTTTTTCAATACAGCTTGTTGTAGACACAGTATTCTTTTCCTTTGATGGATGCACTTTGTTCTAAGGCCATTCATTTCAGATTTGCACTGTGTATATTATACTGCTACCCAGCTGTTTATTCTTTCAAAATAAATGTTTAATGGTTACTTCATAGGAGTTATAAAAGTTAAGCAAAACCAACAGAATCTAGCCAGAACGTGTAAATTGTCAGAACCACAATAATTGACTCTCGCAGAAAGTTTTAAGTTATTTTGGAAAACTTTTTCTTTGCTGAATTTATTAATATTAACATTCTTCCTTACGGGTTTTGTGTTTGTATGGGTTTTTTTTAAATAATCAAGAGAGACAGCATCATACCACCAGGCTAAGTTAAATGCTTAAAAGTAGAGTCTTCTATTTTGTCCTGACTCAATTATAAATGCTCGCTTCTACAAAGTGTGAAATCTTAGTGCTAGGGGACTCTCTGAGCCAGCCATTAGTCAGTATCACATCTTCTTAGGAAAATCATATGCAAAGTTAAGAGACTATGAAACATTTAATCTGATTTAATACTAGTTCTGAACAATATTTATTATGGCAACAGGATTACAAGTACAACATTCAAGTGATACTGCTTTAAAATAACCATAACATTTTATCTCCAATACAATGAAGCAGCCATTACTGTGAACTTTGGAATATTCCAAGTCTGTGACCTTCAGATTGTATTATTATAATTCACACCACTTTTTTTTTTCCCCTACCTATGATGCTTACAGAAAGAAATACATGTTTCCATATGAATATCTGTCAACGTTTCATTTATCTAAGGGATTCAACTTAAATAACTATCCCAAAGAACCTTTCAGGAATTCAGAGCAGTGTTCAGTTCAGTGCAATATCCAAAAGATAAAAATGATACACAGAGTTCCATTTTCAATTGAGGCCCATACAATTACCATTCCTCATTACTATGCTTGTGCACTATTCAGCATTACAGCTTCACAAGGTTATTTTTAGGTGTTCTTTGATTTTTAATATGACATTGTGAAAAGCTTACCTTCTGCATGGCATATATATATATAAAAACAAAACCCAAAGTAACATACTTCTATTTAAAAATCCAAACAAAAAATGAAATTTGTATTCTTAACTTCTGCTAATGCAGACACACCTCTACAAATACCTAATGGAAAGATATTTACCATGTATCAGTCCTAAGATGGTAAACTACTCTTCACGTGCTTATGCAACAATTAATCACAGAACTGTGTATTTCAAACTAAGCAGGTATTTTTTGCATGTTGTATGTAAAGTAAGAGCTGAGTTACCTTACTTCAAAAAAGAAGGAAGGTGACAGCCCTAAAAGGCTATTATTACATTACCAGGAGCCTTTGACCATGCAATTCGTCCTCCAGCATCATGGGTAAGCACTGCTTAATAAGTAAAGTAAATCCACTAAATATAAGAAATAGAAGAGAGCAAATATTACTCTATCATTTTAGCAGAATTAAGTATTCCACAGTTACAGTACTACAGTTTGTGTTCCTGTTTATGTGTACTTAGTTTATTCTACATGTACTTACGTTTTATTTTTTACTATGAGAACAAGAGTCTTTAAGCCAAATTAAGAATGGAGAAATTAACAACCTTCTGCTAATAATACCTACAAACACAACACTTTTGTTTTCTGCTCAGAAGTAAATCACCAGCTCACAAAGTTGGCCAACAGGTTACACCGCATCCGGACAAGGTTATTTAGAGATGGATCAGTCAGGTTCAGTGAAGTGATTCAACAAAAGCACAAGGACATGAGGAACGTTTTAGAGGTCATGGTTACTTTCTGAGACAACACGTAATAAGGTAGTGTGGTGAAATGCTTGAAGCCAGAAGTACAATATAGTTATTAGCTCTAGGCATATAAAATTATTTGTGTATTTCTGCATTTATACTTACTCGCCAAAACAAAAATCTTCTACATGTTGAATAGTTTTATCCTTCTTGCTCAAAGAAATAACTTCTTCATTCTCAAGGATCAGTTTTCTCCAGTCTTCACATTCATCACTGATATCAGTCTTTTGCTTACAAAGAACAATTAGAAAATTACCATTTGTACTGTACCAGCTGCTCTTGAAATATATATCTCTGTAGTCCAAATAATTTGTACCATTTTATATATATATAAAAAATGGTGTGTGTGTGTACATATATATAAAAAATATATAAATCATCTTAGCTGTCTTAATATTTTTTCCATTCACATTTTTGAGTTCTAACAGAGCTGGTTACTTTATCATAGCATGCCAACATTTGTACATTGCTAGTTTTAGTAATCTGAGAGTGTAGTGCTAAACAAAATACAAGTTTCAGTACAGTTGAATGTAATTTTGAATATAATCTACTAAAAAAAAGTTTTGCCATAGCAAGGTTAGTTCCAAACTTTGTGACAGAACTCTTTGAATGGAGACCACATGAGAAAATACAGTGATTTGGGTATTATATTAATCTGCCCACACAGGAACCTCTACACCATGTAGCAGAACCCTGAGAATATTAAGTTCTGACATTGAGCAACTCCACTGATTATGCCAGAAGGTAGCAGCACTATGTAATAAATAGGCATGAGACTGAACTGAAGAAGTTCCATCTTCTATGGACCAACAGGCTCATATCACTTCAGCAAATAATATGAACATCCATTTGCTAATATAGTCCAAGTGCTCAATCTCCTAAATAAATACCCTCTTCAGAAGATTTCTAGTGGACCATCATAAATTAGATAAACTTTGGTCATTGAAAAATACACTACCAACATTCATCTTTTTGTCCTGGTTACAGGACATTTCAATGGAAGGATCCAGTAACTACCCTTCTCCCAGTTAAGAAGAATCAGCTGAAAGCACAGAAGACAGATTAAAGGGACTGAAATATCAGATTGGAAAATAATCAAACACAAAAAGACAACAAGGTGCTGGGAAAGGAATCAAAACAATAGTGTAGCTGGTTCTACATAAATTCAAGTACCTAAAAAGTATGACTGAACACTAGACTGTTCGGCTTCAGATAGTAAAGATTAATAAATCAGGCATATCAAGAGTCCTAGAATGCCAGGCCAGGTGGTTAAGTCTTAACTAGTAAAGTTAGAAACTAGAAACCTCTTTGATCTGTCAAATTACTAAAGAGAAAAAGCACTGTGGTAATTTGTCTTGTAATAAATTACACAAGCAAACTTAAACCTTAAGGAATGTCAAAAGAAGTCATTTGGGAATTTTTTTACCTGGTTTTCTTTGACCCAGGACAATAATCCTGAAAAACTAAAGCTGGCCCAGTTTCCACCATAGTAATTTCTCCTGTAAAAAAACCAACAAAACAACAAATCAACAGTGAGGCTTGATGGACAGATAAAACAACCAAGTTTGAGATGTTCAAAATGTTTTCCATGACAGATGTTACAGACACAGAATATAAAAATTGGTAGAATATTTCACAATCCTCAAGGAGATTAAAAACTTCCATTTTCACTCATTTGTATGCATCTCTGACCAAAGAGACTACAGTCTAAAATCGAAGTATTTTGAGGGTAAAATTAATAATACTAAAAAAGCACAGGGGATGCAATAAGTAAAAGGAAAATACAGATACTGCTTCTTGGCCAAAACTGACTCTACACCTCTAACTCAAATATGTACATCACTATAGATACCTTTACTTAGTGCAGAGCCAAGCCAACAAGTCTGCCAGTTTCAAGTGAGTTCTCAGAAAACCCACTTCAGGTTTTTGGCATCAGGTTCTGGCAGGACCTCACAGGTTTGTCACATGAGCACAGCTATGCTGCTTCTGACTGAAGCCGATGTAGAAGTTAACGTAATTACATTACATGCCACTTCTGAACTACCAGTGCTTCATGAGGGCGATATGCAGACGAGGGTTAAGTGAACTGAAATTGGGTCCAGACAGTAGAAACCACATCTCTCAGCCATTATGTCAGAGGAAAGTTCACTCTATTATTTATCTATTGCTTACAGAACAGATTATGCTTATTACAGACTGTTACAACGCTCTGGCAAAATTCTTACTGAACTGCATATACTGTAGGTGGAGCCAAAGCAACTGATTTGTACAAAATGATCATACCTCCCCTAGTATTTCCCAGTTCATATTTACCACCTTATTGCTTGAAAAATATTAGTTTCCTTCTTTTAAATCACAGAAAATTAATTGTTCTTCTGTTAATCAAAGAAAGACTGTTCTCCCTTCATAAAAATTTTCTATCCATATTTCTCTCAACATCAGTTGGTTTAGTTTCTTTCATCATGCACACCACATCTTAAATACTAAACAACTCTGATAGGAAAAATAATAGAGCAATTACACGTCTAAAAAATCACCAGTTCTCACAAAATAAAAAATCACCTGAGGATTTAACCCTATTTTCTGGCACTGGATGTTGGCACTTCAGATGTGTGAAAGATAGCAGAAATACTCTCCTGGATGGATATCTAATGTTATTGCATACACTGAAAAAACCCAAACCCTCCAACATTTAGGGAGGAAAATGGGTTTTGCATTTTACAGGTTAATGCAGAGACTGTTAAATCAAATAACTTAAAATCTTATCATAACCTCCTCCACTTTTAAACTGTAGGGGTAAGTGTGATAACAGTGAAAAATTAAATTCAGGTTAGATTCTACTGTTTAACATGGGATGGTTTTGACAAGGGTTATCTGCACTGACAAAGACTTCATCAAGAGTGTCAGCCCCTTTGCAAAACCAGAGGGTGATGCTCCATGCCATGTTGCTTACTTAGCATATGAAGGACAGATGTCTGCTAAACAATGCCTAATCACTCCTGACTAGAAACTGACCTCAAAAAGTCTTTCAGCTACTGCAAGGCAATAGTGAAGAACATAAATAGGACAACTGCAAAGACAACAAAATCCAGCCTTTGCTTAATAAGGGCAGCTTCTACAACAGAACCAGGTGTTTAAGGCCACCAACTGGAAGGAGTGGTTCTATACTTCATGAGAATGCTCAGTCTGCCCTGCAACTTGGTCACTCTAAGCTCCATCTGCAGATCCATTACCAACCAGAAACTCCATCTTTAGAGTTCATACTTACCTCACTATATGAATGACATGGGTGAGGCTTTATAAGAACTGCTTTTTGGTATCACACAGAATATAAAGCAATGAGGATTAAATATATTCAATGACTGATTGTCAAATTTCAATCTGTAAAACACTGATAGTTGCATGATAATCTCCAGTTATGTTTTAGCTGTCAATGATGCAGGCTAATTTCTGCTGCTGCTTAAGATATGACTGACTAGAAAGTTCAACATCCATATATTATCTGCCACTTCTGGGATTTCCAAAAAACACAAGCATGAAGATTTATTTTTAAGGGAATCTGCTGCTTTAGTTGCAAGTTTCCTTGAATATGGAATACAATCTGGCTGTCAGAGCAAGCAAGGCCATTGATCACAGAAATTGCAGAAAACACCTGCCTAAAATTAGGACTGCGTTTCTTGAATCTATACCAGTATAAATTCATGCATATTTAGAGTATTTAAAATGAAAACTTTTGGTAAGAGAAACGAATGTCATGATCAGAAAATTACAAAAGTTGATTCGTGAGCTGTCAGACACATCTGATGTAAACATTCCTCTGTTCATCAGGTGGATTTTCCTTTGAAACTGCTTTTCTTTTTAACCACCGTTGATGCGAATCAATCTTTTCAACAAAGCGCTGCTCTGAAGCTCAATCCATTTTGAGAAGACAGCATGGCCTTTCTCAAATGGAAAATGAATCACAGCTGTCCTTCCCCTCCTCTGGCGTCTGAGCACCTTTCCCAAGCTATGCTATACCACCTCAAATATTAATTTTCTCTTGAAGCATGAAATTCCAGATTTTTTTCCCCCTGGAATTTTAATTAGTTTACCCTGCATTACATGATGAATCAAGGATTGCTTAATTTTCTCATCTGAAAACACTGCAGAAGGAAGGTAGACCAGATCCAATTACTGACATAACGAGCAAGGTTTTTTAGTAAATATCTTGAAGAGGAATTCTGAAAAAGGCTGACTAATGATTTTACAATTAGGTGCCCTTTGTAACCAAATATTTTGATTGTAATTGCCCTGAAGATGAACCAAGGAATTCCTCAATGTAATGGTCAAGATCAAAGCCTAATTAAAGCTAAAATATTGTCCCCAAAATTTCAAGGGCTAAGCTCCTCTCTTATTATATTAGCAAACTACAAAGATGGATATTCTCTTCCTTTTTTAAGGTTATAATTCAATTATACTAAGTAAAGACATGAAACATTTTGAAGGTGTAACAGCAAAGGTAGAAATTAATTTTTCTACCAAGTTAGAGCACTGATGTTCTTTTTTTCTCTCATACATTATTTCCTAGATTATATTTGCTCAAAAATTCTCCTGTATCACCCGGATTTTCACATTAATTAAAATACTGCTGCTTTTACTTCACATTTTCCAAATCTCGACTCTGTAGTTCAAAGCAGTAGAACTGTTAAAGTAATTTTTGCAAAGTTTTGGAGATGTAGCTAAATATGGTTTTACCTCAGCTGAGTTCTCTCTTACCCTACGTTAAGTTTGTGATTTTTCTTCAAATACCTTGAAAGAATTAGCAAATCTCAGTCCAGAACAATGAAATTGCAAATTGTTTCCAATTGATTATTATTCTTGGAATCCAAACCAAGGGAATATCTAACATGTTCTTCGGAAGATAGATTGCAATTTAAGAAATTAAGTACTTTAGAAAGCATGAGATACACAAGTAAAATGTAAGTAAGAACAGAAAAAGGGTTTCATAGCCTGTGCCTGTTAAGATTGCCCTTCTTGGTGCCATGTCGTAACAGCCACGGTGTAGCAGTCAAAGCTGGTGATGTCTGAAGAAAAGCTGCTGATGCCTCACGATTGCTCCCACGAGCTGCCTGTATGTGTCTGTCCTGCATTTGATCTTTCAGAAAGAAGTCTCAAAGCATCAGAGTAGCTGTCTTTTGCACAGGAAGTTACTGCCACATCGATTTTAAGGATCTGAACACAAAATGACTTATGCTTCAAACCCCTAGTTTCATGTGCTACCTATTAAGTACACAGTCAAATGCATTAAAAATTCCCATTCTGGCACTGTAATTGTGTTCAGGAGCATGAGGAGTGGACTGTGCTTCCCTGCATTCCAAGAGGAAGGGTTTAACCCAAACAGCTCTTGAGATCCTTCAGCTCAATATAAGGGTGATAGTGGCAGTCACTCATGTTACATTATATCCTGGGATACGAATGTGACCAAAGTAAATTAACATGGACTGGTTGAGACCACGTTCTACTCTCTAACACCTTTGCTATGAGAACATATCCTAAACCAAAATAGAAATAAAACCAACTCTTCTCAAAAAAGGTCAAAAGACACCAGAATTAAGATTTTTTGCCTAGGTTTCCTTACTGAAAGTTAAAGAATTCCTTTATTTATCTGGCAAGAAATTGACCTGCTTTGAGAAGCAACCTTTTTGCTCTCTGGTTGCTGTACTTCCACAGCTACCTCACTTTACAGAAGTTAAAGATTAAAATGAAGGCTGCATGAAGACACAGGTTGTATTACGTATTTTACAAGTTCTGATGCAAGTGAGAGATTGTCTAGCAAGAAGTAGAAACTACAAAAGCAGGTACCTTGGAGGGGGAAGGTACAAGGAGGGTGCCCATCATGCTTCTGGATGCTTAGATAAAACAGAATTGCAGACACAAGGAACATTGAAGTACTCTACAGGCAAAGTAAGGTCAAAAATTAAGAAAGGCAACCAGTGTCAAAAAGCAAGACATTAGAAGTAGGCAGAGCAAACTGGGCACAGAAGAGGAGTTAAAATCCTGCATCTTGACACTCCTTTGCCTTTGAATTAAACTTTACACTGAAAGCTAATTAAGTCAATGAAGAAGGATGTAAACAGTAAAACTATAGTCTACAAACTCTACCAGATGCTGAAAAGCAAAATGTAGCTAAACATACCTCACCTCCAACTGCCCTATCCTCAGTAACCAAACTAGTACATAACTATACAGACATGTAATTGTAAGAGGCAAATAAGCAAAGGACCAGAAGGAGAAAACATAGCAAGCCATCAGAAGGAAGTCCTATGCGTAAGAACAATTGGAATGGGAAGCATACTCACTTCAAGTAATCAGCTTTCAGTCTTGATCTACCTTTCTTCAGCAGCTTCAAGTTTACCCTAAGTGCCAATCTCCACATTTTTAAATTGCAAATTACTTTTCTAAATCACTTAAAAAATATCCTTGAAATTTCACATGTCAACAGCTCATTAATATCTACAGTAAATGTAGCTCTCTGAAAAGAACCACAGATTTTACGTTTATTGAGACAGATAGCTGGCACAGAGAAATAGAGCTCCTTCAATTACTATTTGGCAGAAGCTAACTTTAGTTTAAAATCAGTTTACAGGAATTTATGGCAACACTGCAGTGAAGTGACTATTTTGAATAAGATTAGCCACTGCTGATGGCGATGCTCGGACAGTGTTTATAAATCAAACTTAGAACTTAGTATTTTATAATAAGCCACTTCAAAACTATCTTCCATAATCACCTATGCAGTATATTATGATAAATGCAAACATGGCTGGAGATTAAAAGTAATAAAATGATGCACACAAGGTAACAAGTACAAGCAAACCATAAACAAAGACTTTATCCATATACTTTTTCTACATTGTGTGCCTAACTTAACTCAGACCTCTGTAGAGAACAAAAGATTAATCGAAGTAGCACACCTAATACAAACAAGTATTTCTGTAACCCCAGATCTTATTTTCTCATACTCTGAAAAAAGCTTAAGCTCGTGATCCTTCAAGAAGGAAAAAAAACATATGTTAAAAAGTGATATTCTGAATACATGTTGATGAATTTTCAATTATACTGCTACCTCAGTAAAAGGAAACTTGAAAATTCATCTAGAAATTAGTAAATTAATCTAGAAATATAGTAGATAAAATTAAAATGCTTAAATTGAGATGAATCTCTGGCAAGCTTTCTAAGACTTAACTTTTCACTTAAAATTCAAATGGCATCAGGGTGGGGGTTTTCTGATGGTTGTGGTAGGCTTTTTTGCAAGAATACTAACTTAAACATGAAAGGCAGATGGCTTAAATGCCTTAATTTCCCTATTTATAGGGAAGGGGCTGTGCAGTATAAACATTTCTTTTTTTCTTTTTTTTTGCCAAGATAAGGATTCTAGACCATGATTCAGTGAGCACATACACCAATTAAAACAGCAATTATTAATATGAGTGAAGAACACCTTGGTTAAAAACACCTTCCCCTGACCTTAGCCTGCGCTAGAGTTGGAAAATAACTCCACAGGAGAAAGGAATCTAAAGCAGAAGCCTTCATTTTCATCATAAAAACAAAAGCATGTGTGAATGTAAATGAGCATATTTAAGTGAAAACAGTAATAAACAAAATCTGTATTCCACAGTTCTAATTGCCTGTTCCTGTGAGTTTTCTGAAAGGCTCTTCATTGTAGCTAAAAACACGCATGGATGAAAGTGTTGTGGTTTAACCCTCAGCCAACAACTAAGTACCAGAGAGCCACTTACTACCCTGTGTAGGTTGAGATAAAGATACATTAATAGGTAAAGCAAAAGCCACGCAAAGCCAAACAAGGAAATAATTCACCACTTCTCATCGTGGGCACTGTTGTCACCCCCAGGACAGCAAGGCTCCATTGTATGTTACAGTTACTCGGGAAGACAAACGCCATCACTCCAAATATCCCCCCCTTCCTCCTTCTCCCACAGCTTTACATGCTGAGCATGACATCCTGTGATGTGGGATATCCCTGGGGTCAGTCGGGGTCAGCTGTCGCACTGTATCCCCTCCCAACTCCTTGTGCACCTCCAGTCTCCTCACTGGTGGGGCGTGAGGAGCAGAAATGGCCTTGACTCTGTCTAAGTGCTGCTCAGCAGTAACTAAAACATCCCTCTATGATCAACAGTTTCCAACACAGATCCAAAACACAGCCCTATACCAGCTACTATGAAGGAAATTAACTCTATCCAAGCCAAAACAAAACAAAGTTCCAGTGACTAATTATTATTACAGACTGATATGCAATGAATATGAAAAATTGAAAGAGAAGTGTTCCATTAAAAAAAATCTAAGTAGTCTACTGGTAATACACACATCAAGCCTCAAATTCAAACATGACTATTTTATTCGTTCTATATCTGTTTATTTCAAAATAAGGGGTTTAATATTTTGGTTAGCAATCTAATACAAATGAGATACTAATAAAACATTTTGTCATGAAATGATAATGGTTCTGGTAACAAGTCTGACAAAAACAGAATGGGATAATTACTATCAGGAAAGGTAACAAAGGACACTAAAACCTGTAACTGTTCCTGTCTGAACGGAAGAAGGAGCCATCAACAGCATCCCTGACCACATAATTTATGTTCCAAATTACTGGGCTAGCATGCAAAAATTGCCTGTTCTACTGATGGCAGTAACATCCCAAAAACAAAGTAAGAGACAGAAGCTAAGATTACTTGATGCCAGATGAACACAAAACACAGCTCCCAAAGGGCACGCTGACATAGACACAGATAGACTTCTAGACAGTTTAATTCCTAAAAAGGAAAACTGTTGGAGTAACTTACGAATCAACATGAAGAACTCTCTGGCCACTTCTGGCACATGCCGCTGCAATAATAGATTCAGGCAAACCTGAAAGGACACATGCAATTTTTAGAACTCAGTATGCTAGGATATATTAAAAAATAAAGTTAGAACTTGGTCAGAAAAAAGCAATTTAAATAAAACAAAGTTTACAATACAAGCCACTGAAATTTTTAATGCTCTCATGCTATAAAAATAATGAAAACTCTTTCATGTTAAATAGTTGTATGGCGCATCTCACTTGAAAATATGACTAGCTCCGAGTTAAAGCTTGTCACCAGGATCTTCTCTGGACACCTTGTTATCATAAACAGATTAAGCACTTGCCAGCACAATGATACCCAAATTGTAATGGGGTGCTCTGTAACTGTATCCCTCCTGATACAGACAGGCATTATCTGAGGGCATTTTTGTTTTATTTTTGGTCCCTTCAAAGTGCCTGACATAATGTGAAGATTGAGCAACAATCCATTAAAACTGTGTTTTAAAATAAAGAAATTTATGGTAAAATGCTGCAAACCCTGGTATATTGTCCAAGGATGCATCAGAGAGCATGAAGGTACCAACCCGTTAGGGTGGCATTAAACAATTGCAAACAGCAGAGTCCTGCACAGCGCCGTCTCCTCCGTATCATCTGTTGGCAAGCATCTCTAGTGTGAACAGACGTCAGAACTGTATTGGGACCTGGCTTCCAAGTAAACTAATTGCTTTGCTCCAAACAAGTGCCCAGGAGCACACTCAATACTGTATGCAGACCAAGACCTGAGCGTAAACATTAAAACTAAACTGACAGTGCAGGCGTACCTTCACTTCACATTCAAGGGTAGTGTTGGGGACAGAACTCATGCGAGCTGGCTGTCCTTAACACAGTATCCCTATCAATGTCTCCCACATCATACAATTACACTCTGTCAAATCAGTATGTTTTCACTACATTCAGAAGATCAGTAGTACCAACAAAAACAAACGAAAACCCCAACCACACAAAAACCCCAACCAACCAACCAACCAAAACCCAAAAGGCCAATGATATTTCTCTACCAGCAATACCCACTTGGAATGGCACATGATCACAATTGGAAGTTCATTAAATAAATGAGGCTGTTCTCTAACTTCTACTCCCACTCACCAGATTTTTACATGCAGTTAGATGACTTGGATTTCTGACTAGATTCAGAAAAGCAGTATAACTTGCTCTCTAAAAAGCTGTACAGCACTAGCTTTGCTGAAATCTCTTTTTAAATTATCTACTGGCTGTTTAAGCAGGTAAACCAGTAAAAGCGATTAAAATTCTAAGGGGCTAGGTATTAGCAGACACTTAGGCTGCATATTCAATTAAGGCATGAGATTAAACAAAGTGAAAGGAGTGTTCCACTGATCTGATTTACAGTGCAGCACCAGAAGCAGCTAGTACAACTGAAGAGAAGTAGAACTGAGCACAGAAAAAGCAGGCGTGGTAGGGCACAAACTTCTCTGGCTAGCTTTGAGCCAGACATCATCTGCATGAAAGTTTCAGGCCTGCAGTTGTCTGTTTCTTCAGAAAGAATACTGCCTTGACAAACAAATGAATTGTCAGCATGTTGCCATCTGATGATTCACTTAAAACACATAATGCAGTACATTAAAGGTTACGGGACAATCATTTACTCCTTGTAAGGTACCAATTTTCAGTTACCTCAAGAAGCTGTTCGCCTTTCAGGAGATACTGAGTACAATTTAACACTCGGAAAGATTGGGAAAAATAATTTTAAATGGTTGAGCTGATCTTCATTAATTCTAGAACCTCAAATGCAGTCTAGAAAACACCCAGCTGGGTTTTGATATGCAAGACCATAGCTTCATGATCTCTTTAAGCCAGCAAAGGCAAGACACAATGACCAAAATTAAGAGTTTCCACTTCTCTATCCTCATCTTCAGCCATTCCTGACCTCCTCCCACATGAGATAGATGGGCAGGTTTCAGCAGACCAGTTTCATGGTGGTGTTGACAGTCCAAAAGTACAAATGTTTGTATCAATAGAAGGAAGGAGATTTAACACATGCATGACAAAATTTCCAGGAAAATAGCTACAACTTCCCTACAGATTTTCCGGGTTAAATGCTTCCTATTTTAACGGATTTAAAACAGAAAATCCCTTTCCAAATCGATAAAACAGAAGAAGTTACAATGGTTTTGCATTGCTGACCTTCCAAAGCAAGTAAAGGCTTATCATGGAATTCATCTCTGGGGGTAGGAAGAGGGATGGGAAATTGCAACAGTTCTTGGGACACTTGTCTCACAGCCCAGAACGGCTGATGGTCTTCAGAGCTGAATTTTTTTAAGAACTCAGAACACAGATCATGCTGAACAAAAAGACAAGGAGAAAGTCTGTAAATGCAGCACGTACTTCAGGACTGTCACAAGATCCTGGATGCACATAGCCTTATTCCATGAACGCAACTCCACATTCAGCTGTCCTCTGGAAGTGTTCATGTGTTTCATTTCTCTTCTATAAACTATCTGGAATAGAATCTACAACTCCTATCTTGTTTGTAGTTCCTGAAAAAGGTTTTCTTTCTCTCATTTGGGCACAAAGAATATTACTCCAGAAATGGAATTGAGAAACTTTTTTCTCCTTCCTTATTGATAAAAGCCACTGAGCAAGTGTTGTAAAACATCCCCAGTGCTGCCTGGCTGACCAGGACTGGAGTTATAGCTACTAGGGCATAACTGATTGCTTTAAGCTTGATCCAATTGATACTGTGTTGGAGGTCTGTTCTTCCATTAACCTTGGGTGAAATTGTTCCCTGAATTAGCTTCCTTGCTCTTGAAAGCTGGCATCAATTTTCTTCACCAACCCTTTGCTTATAAGATACTGTGGCCCCCCAAGTACCCACTGGCAACAGGATGAGAAAGTGTAGGACAGGCAAGGCCCATGCATTTTAGCTTTTGGAGGGGCTCTTTTAACAACCTGATGGACTTAGACACCATTTATTCTTATGTGACAAAACCCCAGCAAACTGAAGAAGTAAGACTGTGCCTTGGTTCCAGTTTCCGACTTCTCCAACAGACATAAAAGCACATTGAAAATAGGTAGCTTTTTCAAATGTAAGTTACTCCTACATGTGATCTGGACTGCATGATGGCTACTTTACAGTAGCCCTTTCCAAGAAAGAAGGCTCTGGCAAACTATTATAATATAGTTATAGATAGTCCCTCTTTACCCAAGAAAAAATAACTAACTTGGAAAAGCCTACTTAGAGAAATGGTAGGGATTTATTTAATGACATCATGTTAAGCTGAACTATCTCCTACAGGGTGCTCACAAAGTTGTGCAAAATAGATCCCCTTCAGATTATTCAGTAACAGAGAAATACATTGTTTTTATAAATTGTTCCTATTTGAAACTAGTTTCCTATTCAGAACTTAAACTTTTCAAAAACTCTGAGCTGGCTTATATTCAAATTTTGAAATGTGTTCAGCCTCTTGCTACGGGGCAGAGCAGACTCCAAACCTTCTCTCTCACAGTTTGATTTGAAGATAATGATTGATTACAGAATTCAAGTGACTGCGGGGGAAAGGCTATATCCCTAATGCTGATTCTGAAGTTTTGCTTATGCTTAATGAGTAAGTAATGGTGGTTATCTCTAAGAAGGATTATTCTAACATTTCCTGCCACTCATCCTTCTCAGGGAAGAGTCAGCTTCTGGTTCTGCCAGCTTAAGGGATGAAGGACTAAGCACTACAACCTGTGTCACTCATAACGTTTCATGGTTTTGAATGATTTGGATCCAATAACTTGGATCAAAGAACAGCAAGATCTAAATGAGAATCTGTATTTCCCTTTAGACTATTTAAAAATAAACAGCTAAGATTGTACTGCTATCGAAATCTATTATCAAATTACTGATTACCAAGATATCTGTCCTCCAATACAATTAATAGGAACCAGTACTTTCCTGCTACGTTATTACGCATGTTAATGTGAAACACAGCACACGCCCCATGTTATTGTATCTGAAATGAAAAGAGCCACTCCAAAAGAAGATTTTCTCAAATAAGATTCCAAATCCAGGCAATTTGTAGATTGGCAGGAAATAAGTCTAAATAGGAATCCCATGCCCCAAACACAAGAAAACAGCAACAAATCCAGACTTCAGTATGCTATACATAAACATCTGGCAGCATTAAAGGGATTTATGTAGAGGAAAAAGGAGTCCATACAATTCTTCTATCAATTTAATATGCTGACTCTGAAGCATTTGAGGCAGAATTGGATCAGAAATAGCAGTGCTTGTTACCAAGAAGAATAAACACTTTCTGAGCTTCCTGGCCCTTTCATATTCCCCCTTGAGAATGCTTACACACGAAACGTTTGCATCACGCTATTGTACTGCACCTCGCTTCCCTTACCAGGAAAAACAAAGATAAAGAGTTCTCCTTCATGAAAGAGGACTGATCAGTACCAGTTGAAATCTTACCATCATTCCTTAAAGCCATTGCCTTCTTTCTCCACTGACTAATCTCCATTTATCAGATGCACTATTAAGTCAATTGGCCTCTGTGGCCTTCTCAAGGAAGCATTAATTTAAAATTTCAGTGAAGTAGGACATTACATTTGCAGACATATAAAAATATGTATAAAATTAGAGATTTTACTCATTAGTGATATCTTGGTCACTAACATGTTCTAACAGGTAGAATTTCATAGGTACTTCTTGGCACCTGCCCAGAAAGAGGTGCATTCCCACAAATCCATGACACTGCCACAGTGAAATACAAATGCAAAGTCAAAGTGAACTAACTCCTACATTTTTCTAGTGTTGGTCCAGGAAGAGTACTGGCTTGTACATACTTGCAAGTACATACCTGCCCTTCTCTGGGTTTCTTACAATCCGTTCGGAAGATACTGAAAAAATTTGGCAACCAGATTAAATTGTAACAAGCTGGCTCTGCTTAGAGGACCAAACATGGTGACATGGCTAACTCCAGCACATAGAAACTGATGCTAGTCCTATGAACTTTTCTGTGTAACTTACAGAAACCTGCTGCAAGAGACTCTGGGACTG